GCTTTAAAGGATTGTAGAAGGATTACTACAGTTTTTAAAAGCAAGTAACTGGACACTTATTGTAAGTATCATTTACATCACTGCATATTTAGGCAGTAGTTGCAGTGTAGTTTGCCAACAAGCTGGCGCTAAGGGACGTACATCAATGGTTATACAGTTAGCAACATGTAACTCATTATTATCAATAACTGGTAACTAGTCCACAGAGCAAAGGTCCTCTGCCTGCCAACTAATGTGATTAGTTCAGAGATAACTGAACAGTCTGGGGCTGTACACAAGATAGCAAGAAGCCTTTAGATCTCCACCAGCTCAGAACCTCTCTGTTCACTGCAGTAAAAGCTACTTAAAGCCTGAAAAACCGTTCTTTCTCCTTCAGCAATTGCAGTAAGCTGTGACTTTTAATTAGTAAGTCTTTTATAAGCATGAACCAGCTACCCTGCACCTCCTACAAACCAGTGAGAGCATCTGGAGAAGAAGAATCAAAAAGCAGTGCTCTGATCAGCACAAGGATCATCACAGCAGATCCTGTGAACAGAGACCTCTGAACAGCTTTCCCAGTTCTCCCTCTGTCCATAACACCCATGATTTTTACCTTTGTGTGCAAGAGTGAGTTTACAAGGGGATTAACTCGTAACCACTTATGAATGATTTATGATCATGTATATCTAGAGAAATACAGTGAAAAGTGTTTGGGTTGATGGTAGCGGTACTGTTACTGGACTAGTAATTCGGAACTCCCAGCTAATGTTCTGGGACATTGTCATGTTGGATGCTGATATTTGCATTCAAAGAAAATCTGGATTAGAAAGCTGGTGATCATGTAGCTACTGTGAATTGATATAAATACCCATCTGGTTCAGTAATGCTCTTTCGGGAAGGAAATCTGCTGTCCTTACCTGGTCTTGCCTACATGTGAGTCGAGATCCTCAGTGATGTGGTTGACTCTGCCCAGAGGACAGTTAAGAACATAAGAACATAAGAACTAGGAGCAGGAGTAGGCCATCCGGCCCCTCGAGCCTGCCCCGCCATTTAATAAGATCATGGCTGATCTTTTTGAGACTCAGCTCCACTTACCCGCCCACTCACCATAACCCTTAATTCCTTTACTGTTCAAAAATTTATCTGGGATGGGCAATACATGTTGGCCTAGTGTGATGATATTATGCCTTTACGAAATGTGCTCTGTCCGGTTTTTCTTGTAGAGGGGTTTTGTCACAGCAGAGAGGTGTCTCCTTCTGGCACATAGTTTGTAAATAGCTTTGGGTTTCTCCCAAGGTGTTTTTTCAGACTAAAACAAAAGAATCATGAGTGGGTGGGCTCAGGCTCTGAGGACTTTAGTTTTGCTTTCAGTTGGTTTTTTTTTGTTGGTTAGCTGCTGGAATGGACAACTCGAGTTTTCTCTGCTGCTAGATTGAAGACTCAAGCAGCAAGGTTTCTGCTTAAAAAAAAATCAAAGGATAGGTTGTTTCTTTCAGTGTTTCTTTCTACTGGGGAGAGACAGCATGTGAGAATTTTTGTTGCATTACATTTTGCCAAAGGGTATGTTTACGGGATGCTGCCTATATTGGAACATTTGGCGGTTAGTGGTTAAATAATACATTGTCTTGTTAAGTAAATTGAGGTCCTCGCCAAGGGAAAGAAGGAGGCATATGTCGGGTATAGACTGCTGTGATCTAGTAAATCCCTAAACGAGTAGAAGGGCAGTAGAAGTCTACACAAGAGGGAATTCAGGAGGGCAAAAAGGGGACGAGACAGCAATGATCTTATATCCTTGGGTGTGGGTGTGTGCGTGTGTGTTGCGGATAATCCAAACAGTTTGTCAATAATTTTTGTATCTGTAAATTAGTTTGATTTTGGTAATATAACAGTTATTTGCTGTTTGTTTTAAAAATTCATTCACAAGATGAGGGCATTGCTGGCTAAACTAACATTTATTGCCCATCACAGAGAGTAGTTAAGAGTCAACCACATTGCTGTGAATTTGCAGGCATATGGCCTATTTACTTAGCCAATGTATCACATCTAAATTGCTGCTTTTTAAGAAACTATTTGAGAATTACTTAAGAGTTCTCAACTGCCTATTTTGGGTCCAACAGTCCTTAATTTATCCCAATCCCTTGTCTTTTCTCCCCCACATTGTGCAAATTTTCTCTCTTTATTAACAATCCAATTGCTATTTTAAAAAGGGACGACTGAATTTGGTTCTGCCAAGTGTATTCTAGATCCTTATCAGACACTAAAAATGCTTTTTCTCATATCATTTTCGGATCCTTTTCAATTCAACGCAGCAAAGAGACAGAATGCTAGGCGGCGTGGTGTAAAGATAACAATCTTTCCCTCAATGTCAGCACAGAAAAAGAGCTGGTCATTGACTTCAGGAAGCAAGGTGGACAGCATGCCCCTATCTGCATCAATGGAGCGGAGGTGGAAAAGATAGAGAGCATCAAATTCCTAGGAGTGACTATCACCAACAATCTGTCCTGGTCCAACCCATGTTGATGTGATGGTCAAGAAAGTGCAGCAATGCCTCTACTTCCTCAGGAGGCTAAGGAAATTCAGCGTGTCCATAAAGACTTTGACCAGTTTTTACAGATGCACCACAGAAAGCATTCTATCCGGATACATCGTGGCTTGGTATGGCAACTGCTCTGCCCAGGACCATAAGAAATGACAGAGTTGTGAACACATCCCAGTCCATCACACAAGCCAAGCTTCCATCCATTGACTCCATCTACACTTCACACTGCCTTGGAAAGGCAGCCAACATAATCAAAGACCCATTTTGCCCCGGTTATAATCTCTTCCAACGTCTTCCGTCAGGCAGAGGATACAAAAGTTTAAACACACACATACCAACATATTCGAGAACAGCTTCTTCCCTGCTGTTATTAGATTTCTGAATGGACTTCTCAAATTTCAAATTTAATGTTGACGTCAGTCTTTGTGCGCCTTCTCTATAACCATAATGGTGTATTCCTTGCTTTGTTCTATTATTCTTACGCACTTCGAATGGTATGATCTGCCTGTACTACAACAAAACAAAACTTTTCACTGTACTTAGGTACATGTGACAATAATAAATCAAATCAAAACAAACTTTAGCTTGATGTGCCCTGGTTTTCAACCCTTTTGTCAATGGGACATTTCTCCCAAGCTACACTATCCAGACTCCTTTTGATTTTGTTTACCACCATCAAACCTCCTCTCGACCTTTTCTTTTAAGGAAAATAATCTCTAATCCTATCCTTGGAATGATTCTTGTAAATATTTTTTGTATACACTCTAATGCCTTCATATCTTTTCGAAGGTATCACACCCAGAAGTGGACGCAACACACCAATTAAGGTAGGACAAATGTTTTAAACATGTGTACCCTTAGGTGGTGACAGTCTAGCGGTATTATTGCTAGACCGTTAATTCAGAGACCCAGCTAATTTTCTGGGGACCTGGGTTCGATTCCCACCATGGCAAATTTTTGAATTTGAATTCAATAAAAATCTGGAATTGAGAGGCTAATGATGATCATGAAACCATTGTGAATTGTCAGAAAAAGAACATCTGGTTAACTAATATCCTTTAGGGAAGGAAACCTGGTCTGGCCTATATGTGACTCCAGACCCACAGCAATGTGGGTGACTCTTAACAGCCCTCTGGGCAATAAATGCTGGCCTAGCCAACAATACCATCATCTCATGGATAATTATTTTTTTTTTAGAAACCATAACCTCTTGGCCTTTGTATTTTATGCCTCCTCACATATCACATTGCTTCTTCTGCCAAAAGCTTAAATTGGTGTCTTCTAGTTCTTGAAAATACTGCCAATAGGAACAGTTTCTCCCCATCTATTTTGTCCAGCCACCCCTTATGATGGTAAAAATCTCTATCAAATATCCTTTAAACCTTAACTTCCCCATATTATTCAAGTATGGCCTTCTCTGTGAAGTCAAGTTGCTCAAATGTAGTTCCCAAGTTAAGACAACATAAAGTGTTCTCTGAAAGTTCACAGCATATATAGCCACTTGCAGTGGCCTTCCTCTCCTACAGTCCTGCTTTTTGCCTCTCGTCCTCCATACCAAAAGATAGTTCCAGTAAATGACAAATGCCTGCAGTGAAACCAAGAGGGAGCCTACATACCAAAATAATTCCAGAAGAGTAAAGAGCAACTTGACAAGAAAAACAGCAGCTAAGCTGTAGGTTTTGTATGATCCCTTCAAATAATGTGGGGATCTTCCCTGTCAGTTACTGCTACATGATGCTGGGCAGTTTCAGCAATTTGAGAGACTGATGCTGGGGAATACCAAAGATCCGTAATATTCAGAAACCAAAATTAAATCAGCTCTTCACACTTTTTCATTCCTACAGTTGGAACTGAAGACTAGAAAAGATGTTTCCAAAATGGCAGGTGGTTTGCTTCTGACTGAAATCGTATGCACAGTTCTTGCCTATTATATTGATTGTTTAGGCAGTCATTCAGCACTCCGAAAGATAGGTGTTACACAATTAAATTTCTCGGCCTTTCTTTTAGTAGAATTAAATATTTGCCCACCCTTGATACCATTGGTTCCTGTCCCTGGACAGTCTAAAGGGAAGCAACCATTTCTGCCACTCTCAGTAAACCCATAAAAACAATTCTCAATGTACATATTGCATAGAATGCTTGTTAGCAAAATAACACCGTTCAAAATGATTGATGGATGAATACTTTATAACCAACTCTTTTAGATAAAATGTATTTTAGGTTGGAGTTGTCCAACAATCTGACGAACAGGTAATTGTGTTTCCTAACGCGGAGAAAACTAAACAATCAATAATTAGAAAGAGAAATGCAATATTAGCAGCTAAATACTTCAAATTGAGCAGCCACAGTAAAAGAACAAGGATAGCAGTTTATAATAGCATAATTGAACATCTTAATGTTACATTTTTGAACATGTGAAAAATGGATTACCATAAGTAGATACCATCCTCAAGAAGGTATCCAGCATATAACAAAAATATACCTTTGCATTTATTAGTTGTCTTGTCCAGGATGGCCTTTGTTGATACTATTTTGCCATACCTAGAAGACAAAAGAGAATGAAGGTCATTAAAAGAATTATTGTTGCAATTGTAACATTTCTGAAAAAGTTATAAATCTGCCATAATATCATAATTGATTCCTCACTGTTACAGATAAACATTACTTTTAAATATTCTGCCGGTTATAGGTCCAAAATAGCACTGGCGTTGGCAGAAAGGAAGGCAGGAAAATCAAAATGAGTGACCAAAAAGGCAGAGCTTGTAATCACAGAAATTTATTTTATGTCTCTCCATTTCCCATCACCGTCACAAAATTATATTTGAATGTACTTACGACATATTACTTTGTCGCAAATGCACAAAAAGGTACAAACTGATCTATTGTGCATTTACTGACTGCTGCCTTGCAAACGGTGGACAGAAAATGAGAAGTCAGGGAGAGAGTTACTTGCATCACAGTTCCTAGACTCATGCCTGTGTTTGGTGCTACAGTACTTGTGCAGCTAGTCCAATTCACATTCTGGACAATGGTAGCCCAATGAAGTTTATAGTGGGGTCTGATGCCATTGAATATAGGTTGCTTCAGTGTTTGAAAATTCACAAATTGTGTAGAATAGTGTGTAATCATCAAAGTCATCGTTTTTGACCTTATGATGAAAGGCACTGATGTATCAGCTGAAGGTGGTTCAGCCTAGGACACCTTGGAACTCCTACAGAGATGTCCTGGAGCAGAGATGATTGGTCTCCAACAACCACAACCATCTTTCATCTTTTTCCCTGATACCCAGTCTCTTGTTTTGCTCGGGCTTCTTGATATCACAGTTAGTCAAATTCTGCCTTTATGTTATAGTCAGCATCACTTCATCTGTAAAGTTCAGCTCTTTTGTCCTTGTTTGAATGAAGGCTGTAATGAAGGCAGTGCCTTGCAAACTAAGTGTTTGTGAGCATGTTAGTGATATGCTAGGGCCGCTAGATAGCACTGTTGATTACCCATTCCATTACTTTGATCAAGATTAGTCTGATGGAACAGCAACTGGTTGGGATGGATTGCTCCTGCTTTTTCTGTACAGGAGATACTTGGGCAATTTTCCATATCATCAGGTCAATGCCAGCATTGTAGCTATATTGGAAGAGCTTGGTTAGGGGCACAGTAAGTTCTGGATCACACAATTTCAGCACTTTTGCCTAAATATCGTCCGACCCTTTGCCGTATCCGGTACTTTCGACTATTTCTTTATGTCACATGGAATGAATTGGCTGTAGTCTTGCATATATGATGCTGGTGGTTACTTGGAGAAAGCCAGAATAAATCACCCAAACCGTAGTTCCAGTTGAATGTTTCAGTCTTGTCTTTTACCCGGATGAATTGGGCTTCCCCATTATCATGGATTGGGATATTTGTGCTGCTTCCTCCTCCAATGAGTTGTTTAATTGTCTATTACCATTCATGACTGGATATGGGAGGACTGCAGAGCTTAGATCTGATCTGCAAATTATGGAATCACTTAGCCCTGTCTGTCACTTGTTGCTTATGCGATAGCTCTATATGCTGTGAGGCACACAAGTCGTCCTGTATTGCAGCGTCACCAGGTTGATGCCTTGTATTTCGGCTTGCCGGGTGCTGCTTCTGGCATGCCTTTCTGCACAGTTTATTGAACCAGGTTTGAGCCCTAGCTGGATGGTGAGGGGTACAATGTGGGATATACTAGTTCATGCGGCTGCAGATTTTGACAGTAAAGTTCTGCTGCTGCTGATGGCCCACAGCACTTCATGGATACCCAGTCTCAAGTTGCTAGATCTGTGTTTTAAAATTAATTAGTGGTATCTTGGTAATCAGGATCATCACAGATTAACCTGACCAGCCTGTGCAGCTATAACAAGAATGACAAAAAAATGTATATAGCGCTCTTAATGTAGTAAAGCGACAAGACACTACACAACAATACATTCAGGCAAAGCAGTCTTAGTCTAATTATCCTGTTGTTATCTTAATTAAAACGTAATATATTACTACTTATTACTCAAGCATATGCCTCTTTTGAAGACTTAGACATGATTAAGCCTTCATTACTTAAATGCTATTAGGCCCTGTAATACTAGTGTTACAAGGAGATTTGGTGGTAGTGCTTCTACTCCAAAGGAGATCCTAGCAGAACTAGGTACTAGCTGCGGAGTTCTTACAATGATTAAAAGCTTGGTCAAAGAGCTACACGTTAAGAATCAATGTCAACAGCTCTTGAGGCAAATCCCTAACAATCTTTCAAGTCCACAAAAAATTTGTTCTGGAAGAATGGCAAAGCCTCCAAACTACCTGAATATATTAAGTCTAAAGACTCAGGAGGGAAGGGGTAGTGGTAAATGTAATAACGTACAGGTATTAATTAGTGAGAAAAACATGGATGGAGATGATGTAAAAGGTAATGGCTCGGAAAGGATTAATGCTAAAACTAACATTAAGCTTTATGCAATGTAAATGATATCATAAGGGCTTGGGTGGGGAAAGGCAGAACATCTTAGAGTCTTGAAGGGCACAGATTCATTATCCTAGATTTGTCAATAATTTGAGTAATGATGTCCACCCAACTAATGTAATTTCCACCTGATTGCTATTGTGCAAAAGACTTCATCTCGTTCAAGACCAAAGCCTCTTCTCATTAGACTATATTGTGGTTTCATGTGCTTCAGTACAACCAAGTAGGCCCTGCAGACCCAACAAGAAAAGGAGGATGCTGGCAGCTATCTATCCGATCACATGTTAGCAATGGTTATCACTGTGTATTAATAAAACATAAGGGGCCCCTCAGTACAATTCTTCACTGAAGAAAAATCAAGGAAAGTGAGCCCTTCTGGAACAAAGGGCACATGGCCCACAAATAGGCAAATAGAAGCTTACATTTACATGTCTTTCACAACCTCATGTAAGTCTGTATCTTTTCTCTTACTGTAGACAGAAAGAGGATCATTTTAAAACCAATGGTTATTGAAGAGATTGCTGCACAAATTACTGAAACTCATTGTAAGTGGTATTTCCACTGCTGCTTTATTGAAGCAGTGGGAGAGGGGCTGATGGGCTGGCAGCTATGGGTGTGTATAAAAGTGAGATTCAGTCAACAACAAGTAGTTGATTGGTGTGAGGAGTGATGGCCAGTTGTTGATGACAAAGGCTGTCTGCCTGCCTACAGCTACGTGATTGGCTGCTGGGTAACTGAACAGCTTGTGGATGTGTCCAATATTGCTCGAATTCTGCTGACCTCCAGAAGGGGTGGTGTGTCTCTGCAGCAGAAAATACGGAGAGCCTAAAGAAAGCCAGTTTTCTCCTCTCACTTCCTGCTGTAATCTGTTGCTTTTAACCAATAAGTCAGAGACTTCATAATTTTAGAAGCTGTCTCTCCGCACCCACTGCAAGGGGGCAAAAAATATCCTAGGAGAGACAGAAGAACACCGTCCTGGAAGTAAAAAGATCATCTCAACGATTGCTGCCAGGAACTATCGAACTATTTTTCCAGCTTTTTCCCCTGCACCCATAACATGTTTACACAGAGTCCTATAAGAGGGGTTAGAGTTTTAACTAGGAGGATTTATATGTCGACAGTTCATAGTTGTTTACCTGGAGATAGTTTTCTGTTCATTTTGTAATTAATAGTAATTTTGTTAAGTACAAAAAATCTGGTCCATATTTTCTGTTGGCCTGGATCTAAAGAAACAGGTAATTGAGGAACTTTTGCATTCTTCGATAAAATCTTGAACTTTTGTGACAACTCTGGGAATAATGGGGTTCCATTTGCAGCATGCTATCAGAATGAGGCATGATGCTCAGAATATCTCAAAGCACTCTACAGTCAAGTAAATATTTCTCAAGTGTAGCCTTTGTTGCAATGTAGAAAATACAGCAGCCAAATAATGCGCTGCAAGAGCACACAACAGCAAAATGGTAATACCCTGAATGCTTTAATGAAACTGATCGGAGGGATAAATATTGGCCATGGTCAAAAATCACACGACATCAGGTTATAGTTCAATCGGTTTATTTGAAAACACTAGCTTTCCGAGTGTTGCTCCTTCATCAGGAATAGTGTACACACGTGTTTGAGAGAGACACTGAGGGAGTATATGGGTACCGAACTTGGCTATCAGCCTCTACTCAGCAACTTTGCATTGTTGTGCATCCCAAAGTCCGCCCTGGAGGATGTTTACCCGAGGCCTAATGTCCTTGACCGCTGAAGTGCTCCCCCACTGAGAAAGAACATTCCTGTCTGATGCTTTTTGCATGGTGTTCGTTCATCAGTTGTCGTTGCATCTGCATGGTCTCGCCAATACCATGCTCTGGGGCATCCTTGCCAGCAGCATGTGAGATGGACAACGCTGGCCAAGTCACATGAGTATTTATCTTGTACATGATGGATGGTGTTCCCACGTGTGATGGAAGTATCCATGTCGATGATCTGACATGTCTTGCAGAGGTTGCCATGGCAGGACTGTGAGGTGTTGTGACACAGAGGAGGATTCCCGTTCTGTAGCTTGCAATTTTTGTTTTATGTTCATTAGACAGCACAGGGCCTCAATTTAACAGCACATCCAAAAGTTGGCACATTTGACAGCATAGCACACCCTCAAGTACATCGCAGAAAAATCTACCTAGATTTTCGTGCTCTGGTCTGTCAAGATACAAGGGAACACACAATCTTCTAGCCCAGAGGTGAGGTCATGACGGAAGATCTTTATATGTATGCATACACACATCTTCCAAATTATTGTCTACAAAATAACTGTGTAAATAAAAAAAAAAATTGTCCTACGTTCTGCAGATCTATGCTGTCACATATTTGAGCCTGTCAGGATATGACAGTGAAAAACATTGTAGTCTTTAGTTGAAGATTGACATCAGAATTAAAGAAGAAACAAAATACAAAAACTGAAAGAACTGCAGATGCTGTAAATCAGGAACAAAAACAAAGTTGCTGGAAAAACTCAGCAGGTCTGGCAGCATCTGTGAAGAAAAAAAAAATCAGAGTTAACGTTTCAAGTCCGATGACACACAGA